ACCGTCTGGCCCGGGACCGGTTTTATTTTCGAGCGAGTTTTACAGAGGTATTGGATGAGGGCTTGCTCTTTTGTTCATTTGTATGATGTGTTATTGGCAGCGGCCTCACATTTTCCAGGCAAGAAAATTGTGCAGTCCGGTGGAGACAGACAAACGCTTCTGCTGGAGCGATTGGTCTTGCGACGGGTTTACTGAGGAAGGTCGTAATTCTTATTTATTTACCGGTGGGGAGAGTTGAAATATCATCGTGAGGTGATCAAGTAACGTTAACTTTGACCAGGGGCGTGGGGTGTTGACCTTGTAATTGATGTAAACGGGGTTGGCAGTTTGGTATTAATTTTTACGGTGGAATTTCAGGGGAAGAAGTGGAAAAACAAGAAATATTGGGAATTGTCCGGGTAATGAACTGTTCTTCTCAAGTTTTCACATTGCAATTTTGACTATACACTGTTGAAAATTTTCGTCGCAATTTTTCGTACCAAATTCCGGAAAATTTTATCGTGTTGAAGTTCCCCTGAAATTTCAGGTAATCTTGTCATTGAGAAATCAAATATTCCATTGATTTTCTGGTGAAATAATCTGGAAATCAATAAAATACTTGATTTTTCAGTTCAATTATTCTGTGAAAAATCAGGAAAACTGAGGGAAAAATTGAAAATTCATGTCATTTTGGTTCTGAATACTCATGTTCCACTGAAAATTCAATCAAGTTGTGAAATTTCCATCTGACTCCCACTGAAAACTCATGAATTTCCGTGAATTCTACTTAAAACTTGAAATTTCATAACCTTTTTTTCCCTAAATCCGATTTAATGTCACTCTCGTGAGATTTACTATAATATCTTCGATGACATTTTAAAAAATTTCTAACAGTATAATCAATAATATACACTGCTGAATAAATTTCGCTGAATTTTCCGAAAAAAAGACGTTGAAGACGATTTAAGGAGAAAAGATCAATGGAATTTCAAGTTTTTCTGAAAACTTGAAGAGAAATCGGGAATTCAAGGAGAGATTTTACTGAAATTTCCAGATTTTTCATCAATTTTCACGGAATAATTAAACTGAAATTTACAGTTCCCACGAATCTTTTCATGAAATTATGAATTTTCAATTACAAAATTCCTTGAAATTTTTGTAGAAATGTTACTGGTTAGAAATTTCCACGACTCACCGGAAATTTTAGTGTAAAATTGTTACCAGTGTAAAATACAATCGAGGAATAATAAACTGTGCGAACGCAAAAAGCAATCTATGTCACACCAATTTCACGATTTAACGACAAGGAATTATTTGAAAATCGGATTTTACGCGCTTGCGGATTCGATATCTTGAATTGTGAATTAAGATAAATTACGATATTGAACTGTTAAAACTACTGCGGGAGATTTCGGAGCGTCGTCGCTTCCGATTCCGGGAATCTCCTTCCCCTTCGTTTACGCACCCTTCCACGCCTCCACCTCGTGAATTAATTCTTATTAATAAATTAAATTTTATATCAGCGATTGTGCATTGAATTTTCGTCAGTAGATAGAGGGGAAATTCCAGGGGAATGGTGAGGATTTATTGGTCTTTGAGGGGCAATGGATTTCGATTAGCTTTAACATCGCAATGTTGACCGTAATCGATGACATAAAATGGAATCCAGAAAAAAAGATGTTTGCGAATGTAAACACCACTCTATGTCACAATAATTTTTACGATCAAACGACGAGAAATTATGAGTATCGAGTACATCACCGAGTATTATATTGAGTCTAGCGCTCTGTGTAGCGTCTCTATTTGATTTAATTATAAATTAATTCCGACTTATTTATCAATCATTTTGAGTCAATCATCAAGTTTAATATCGAGAGAATCTCTAGTGCAGTGCAAAGACTATTATCAAATTCATATTGAGACATTCATCAATTCGTGTATTCCTGAAATCAAGATGCGTGGCTTGCCCTACAAATAAAGTACATCAGTGTTTTGTAATCCGCGTGTCTTAATTTCACCCTTTCCATATCACGTGCCCCCAATCCGCCCTCATGTTAGCGTCAATCTCTAACAAGGTTATTATGAAAATTTCGCTATCTCCCTTAAATTCGGAAATATTCCTGGAAAATCAGCTACAGACTAAATTGACTTGAACCGTTTGACCACTTTACTACTGAATTGTTGATCGAATCCTGAAGATCAGCGGCATGCTCCTAAAAATCCCTGACTTGTCCCTGAAAACCAAAACTTTTATTTCTCTGCGCTGAAAAACGAGACCACAATGAAGTCACTCCAATCGAGCATGATGATATCTTCGAATGATGTCTCCGTGTAAACCCACTTTCAAGAATATACCTCTGCGTATTGTCAAGTGGCCAGATGCCAATTGGATGCATCAACGTCGATCCTTCTGCATGACTTGGTGTCTCAGAATCTGTCCAACTGAACACTTTTAAACTATTATATATTCACATGAGTTAGATAACCAATCGTAAGTTTGAGTAAAGTATAATGACCCCCGCGGACGATAAAATAATGCCGGGTTAATGCCGAACGTATGGGGATGGGTTAAACGAAAGTTGGCTCGTATTTTCGAACGTTAAAACGGGCAAATTGTTTACGGCACTTCCTGGCAGGCTATTTTCGGCTGCTTCAGTTGGTTGATTATGAGAAAGTTTTATTGTTTTTGCAATGCAGCTTTATTGCATGAATCTCATTCGATTGTACATGAAGGATCCAGACGTTCACCTGTTGCTGGGCTTCATGATGCTCTCAGATTTCATGGATTTATCCGGAAATAGGTGGCGTGAAGATGGGGGGGAGCGATAAACAATTTACGGGAGTGGATTCATTGGAAATAACGGAGAGAATAATAAAGTTTCGTGAGCGATTGTTAATTGCATACTTTTTTGGATGTGAAAAATTTACCGTTGAATATGGTAATGCTGAAAAAAAATGAAAATTTGTGGTGTGACGAACGCATGAATACGGCGGACAACGCACTGAAAACGAATCAGTGTTGTCAATTTTTTATGAATATCTCGGAACCGAAGAGAGATAGCAAAATTTTTCTTATGACCTTTTTTATAACCCGTAATTGGCTCTATGAAAAAGGTCTTGACCAAAAATTTTCTATCTCTTTTAGATTCCGAGATATTCGTCAAAAACTAGCCAATAGTCAAAATCTACTTGACCCGGTTTACCGCTTCACTACTGAATCGAAATCTATTGTGCTTCAGAAATCAATAAATCGGCACCATTTCCCGGGAATATCCCCTCTATCTATTGATGGACATTTAATACCCAATCTCTAATACAAAATTCAATGCATTAATGAGAAAATTTATGAGTAGAAGAGTGAGAGTAGGTGTGGAAGAGTGCGTTAACGAAGAGGAAGGGGATTCCCCGAATGAGAAACAGTGACACTCCGAAAATCTTTCTCCCACAGTAGTTTACTCTAATTCGCAACTCAAGATGTAGGAGGCGCAAGCTTATAAAACCCGATGTTCAAATCGCGAAAAAAATCGCGATGTAATATCGTAAAAATTCATATGAATTTGGTAATTTCTCGTCGTTGGATCGTAAAAATGATTGTGACACAGAGTGGTTTTTACGTTCGCAAACATAATTTTTTCTCGATTCCATTTTATCAGTGAAATCTGAAGTTTCATGATTTTTATCCCCTAAATCGCATTCAGTGTAATTGTCCTGAAAATTATTAGTCAACTGTCCATCAAATGAGAACAAAGTGAAAGAACAAAGTGAAATAAAAATCGCAATGCAAAAATCCGTATGGATTTGGTAATTTTTCATCCTGTGATCGTAAAAATAGATGTTCAAACTCATTATTTTTTATCCTTCCCTTGAAATTTCCTCAATGAATCGTCCAAGTGGGACAAGTCCAGACAATTTCTCTCAATGGCAGACAAATTGCCAAGTCCTTGGCGTACCATTTTTTCTCCCGTCCCCTGATTCTCATCATCCTCCTTCGCTGCACGAGCTTTTTGACGGCACATGTGATACAAGACGGGAGATATTATCTCCCGGCATGATACGGGCACAAGGAAAATGAGGCAGAGGATAAAAATGTGAGCCGAAAAAAAAGGAAGAAGGTAAACAACGTCACTCAAAGCCAGTGGAGGCGTCAGGGTAAGTACATGAATCATACATGGGGCTCATGAGATAAACATCTTGGGAGAATTCTTCTTTTGTATTCATACGTAATTGTGATCTTCTTTTAGTGTATCAAGGTCAACGATTGCGCTTTCATCAAAATGTTGGAGACTAATTGCTCGTCGCATTAATTAAATTTATTATTTCATGGACAAATTTCAATTTTTTTTCATTGGAATCGACATTTAGACGATAAATGCTAGAAAATTCCAGAGCATTCTGAAATATTGTCGAAGCACGAAGAGAAATGTTTAGTAAAAATTACGGAACTCACAATTCGCCCACCGATTCCGAAATCGACTGAGAATATTTAAGTGACGGTATCGCAATTTTTCACAGAAAATTCAGATAAAAATTACGGAACGCTCTGGAAAAATTCCGTGACAGTTCCGAAAAATTTCCTATAACCACATTTCGCTCCGGAATTATGGAAAAGATAAGTAATTTTTATTGAATATTTCTCTCCGTGTATTTGGCAAAGAAAATTTTTTCTGCGTGTGAAATTCAAGCGAATGTAATACAACTGAAATTCCCCGTTTCAGTCAAGATTAATAGGTCCTCCACAGGACCTAAGGACCCGAAGATCCCCGCGACTCCCCACTCGGTCACTCCATGTCATTGACCCCCATAAAAAAAAACTCCCCCCTCGACCAAACAGAAGTGCAAATGATCAGGCTGAATATCTAACGACCCAGTGCAAACACAGGGGGTTGAGCTGACGTCAGACAATCACCGGATCGTAGGCACGAGATTCCGTAAGGAAACAGTAACAGTGTACCCAACAGTGAACGACGGGGGATGGCTGATGCGATCGCGCGCGAAAACCCGACGTGTAGTGCGCCGGCAACACCAAGCGGGGATCGCCAGACACAGCCTCAGTTAGTCGTGAACCGCCCGAGTAGAACGTACCCAGCACAATCAATACCGCGAATCGATGACACTGATTCGATAGGAATAACTAATCCGCTCGATAGTTGAAATGATCTGAATCATCGGCGATAACGTTACGAATTAAAAGATAAAAATTTCATTCGTGAACATTGAGATGTGGTATTACCATGTGGAGGCCCACGAGTTACGACTTTGGTGAATAGAAATATAAGATTGTGAATTTTATGACAGAAAGCTTGGGAATGACCACAATGTGGAGTTTAGTGCTTCTTCTTCTCTGTGCAACAGGTAAGGGGTTATCATGTTTTCTCAGGAATGGAGATGTATTATTTGTACCGTTGTAAATTTTTGTCATTTAAGAAATAGTAATTGAATAGTCAATTTTCGGAATTTTTTAATTAAATTTAAGGATATCCAGGTACTTTGGCTATTTTTTCTACAGTGAAATGCTTTTTTATTGTTGGAGTCGATCATCAGAGATTTTATTTGAGCCCCATTTGAACCCAAGTTTACGGATATTTGAATCTCGATATTGAACCGTTGGAAAAAAAATTTTAAATCAGAAAAAAATAAAGTTTACTTTTGAGGGAATATTGATAAAATTATTAAAAATGGCAATTTTTTAAAATTACGAGCATTTTCTGTAAATAATTGGTAAACAATCAGTTTTCCACCATAAAAATCATTTGTTAGGAATCTTAACAAATTTATTCATATTCCGAATTCTACCAGAAAGCGATTTCATGCCTGAAAAAATAAGGTTTCCGAAAGTTCAAACAATTTCAAGTATTTATTTATAAGCAACGAATGTTTAAAAAACGAAGAACATTGTGGAATATCTAATTTGAATGAAGCTGAATATTCATGATTTTGTTCAAATTTTTCTCACGCAATTTAATTGACAAATTTGATAATTGAAAATTGTATTTTTCATACTAGGCGATCATTAGTATTTCAATGAGATCTAGAGTTGTCAGATTCTTGATTAAAATTGAACGTCATTTTTTGTGGAATGGTCAATGAATCGAAAATTCAGAAATATATTGGTCAGAATTTTCGGAATTTCTATCAATTTTTGAGGGAATAATTAAACTGAAATTCGCAGGCTTCACTGATTTTTCCATGAAACTGTGGATTTTTAATGATGAAATCGCTTGGAATTTCAGTGGAGCTGTCACTTGATAAAAATTTTCAAAAAGTGGACCGGAAGTGACACTTGCACTCCAACTTTACGTAATCTCGTTATTTGAACGTCACGAGTTGACGAAAAAATCGATGAAAACCGTGAATTATTCAGTGAAATTTTGTAAAAATCCGGAAAATTCAAGGGAATAGATTCCTCATTTTAATATCAATAAAATATTCAACTACAATTTTTTTAATTACCATAAATAATCGATAACGATCGAATTTTTATCCATTTTTTTTTCAAATTCGATGACGAATTTCATGTCCAATTAAAAATTCATAATTTTTTTCAATTTACTCGCTCATTTGGTCGTAAAATGATTACAGTTCACTTGAATTTTCCCTGAAAAATGAAATTCCGCAATTGTTCTTCCCCTAAATCAACTTCAATTCCATTCACTCTTCCAAGAATTCCCACCAATTCTCTCCTAACCCTGCAGAACTATCAATTGAAATTCTATTTCGATCCTCGAGTGTATGTAATTCCCCTCAATCAAGCGGAAGTGATTTTTCCATTCCTTATCAGCCTAAGCCGAGGGATGCTGAGTGTAGACACGGGGTTTAGGTTTAATAATAAACCCGGATAACGCACCAAGCGCCGCGTACAAGGGCTTATGTCATGTTAATGCAGCGCGACCAGTGGGACTGATGCACCGGCGAATCAAGTGGGTGGTACAATTTATTAATTCTATCCACGGGAAACTCGTTTTTTTAATTGACAATTAATACCCGTGAAATAAGGCTGGAATTTTTTTAAATAAAGGACGAGTTTTATGGTGATTGCGCTCTCAATCATAGAGTGATAGATTAATGGGACGGAATTTGAATAGGCGGTTAAATTCCAACTGATTGGTGAAAGAATTTCTTGCATTTATCTCGGTGACCTGTAAAATCAACGCATTCATGAATGTCGATTCATCTGGTAATAAATTCCAACGTAACGAATTACATCAATTGTTGATGAAGCAATTTGCATTCGTTTACTGGCGTCATTGGGCTTTTGATGAGGGACAGGATTGAATGGGTGTCCCGAAAAATGATCTTTTTGTTTTTTTTTTTCTGCGAAGAGCAATGAATTTAATTGATTGAATTTCGTCGTTTTGAATTTTTGAAAATTCACAAAAATTCAGGTCAATCTATTCTTGAATTTTTAATTTAGGGTTATTAATTCTGAAGAGATCTTTTGTCGTGTTGAATCAATTTACTTATGGAAAAAAAGAAGGTTTCCACCAAAACATGATAATTTTCGTAGTTGTAATTGTTCTCGCGAGACATTTATGTCTTTTGGGTAAATACATTCGTTCCAAAGAGAATTATATGAGGCCCCGGGTTTATCAAGTCAATGTTATTGAGTAGTGTATATCTTTGTCCAATAAACACTTATAATTTCTATGGAACAAATGATAATTTCGAGAGGAAAGTACAATTTTCTTGCCGAAAACTGTGTTATTGGCAAAAGTAAATAATGTCGAGGGGACAATTTTTTTGGGTAAAAAATATTCTTTCCTCGTCAAGCAATTCTTTCTATGGTATAAACCTATGGAGTTCTCTCAGATCAAATGATTGTCGTACAATAGATTTTTTTTTTTTCCTGCCAACAGTTCAAATTCTTCTAGGGATATTTCTGATGATTACGACAAAAATTTAATTTTTGTTAAAGATATTAAATTTTCTGCTATCAAGTTGGTTAATTACCTCAAGTAAATCTGTTCTACTCCATGAAATATTCTCATGTGGAACATATTCTCTCAGTGTATTCATGTTTTTATGAAAATTCAAGAAAGTTTGGGAATTCTCCTGTTTCAGCTGTTCAAAAAATGCGGAATTTCATTGAATTTCCAATGAAATCTGAACTATTATAACTTTTCCCTTCAAATCGAATTCAATGTGACTCTTCTGAAAATGACAAGTCACTTACCCATGAAAAATCCGTTGGAAATTATTCCTAATTTCTTCAGAAAAATTATACAGTAAAAAACTAATTCATCTAAATCAAATAATTTTTATCTGCGTTTTTATTCAAGTCAAATGAGTAGTTCTTCAAATGTAAACAAATGGTTTTTTGATCGAAATAAAAAATTCATTAATTACTAAAATTCATGGGTTTTCTCAAATAGATTTTCCTCTCCATGAACTTCAAGTGAATGTGTTACAACTGGAATTCATTGATTGAATCAGGATGAAGTGTCCAAAAATGAAATACGAATAAAAAAATTTCCATGTACTGATTCAAATGTTTTAAAATGATTTCATTCGCCAAAATGGCCTTCATTCTTTGCACTTTTGTTATTCCAGTGGCATTTGCAAATGACTGCATCCATAAACATTCATACAGTCTTAATTGATCATTAGTGTATTTATCCAAACAAATCGTTCAGGAAGTCCGCAGAAATTTAATGTCATAACGAGCAAATCGTGCTCAATTGCATTGAAAACGAATGAAAACTGTGACCTAATAACAACTTTTAAATTTGCAATTTTCAGGAATACGTCAACCATTGATAATTAACATTGATTCAATCGTTAATTTCCAGTCGTATTGTATTCATATGACTGATTAATGCCAGTTAACACAATTGGAATTTTGTTCGAATTTAATTGACATGTCATTTTTGAAAATTCAAAGTTGAAATTGGATTTGAAGTTTTATTTCTCGTTGATGGTGCCTTTTATGGAATGAAATACCGTTTTGAAATGAATCTCCATTAAAGCAGCTTGACACATTCAAATGCCAGATCATAAAAATATTTAAACAGAGACGCGTTTATACTGTGTTTATGTCTCGTGGTGACCGAATGGCTGGCGACTACGAATAATCTAGACGATGGATAGAATAAAGAATGAAAGCAATGTGAGCCACGAGTGGTCCAGCGTATTTTTGAGTGAAAATTGAGAGGCGTGCGACTGAATGAAGAGAATTAAGGTGTTTCGTGAGTATTTCACTGGGGGTGAAACGGAAAAGAGTCTCATTGTTCTCGAGTCCTGATTTAATCCCTGAACACAAAAATCTCAATTTTCAAGTTGCTATTTCAGTGTGCATGTGAACATTTTCTGAATTTTTTTTTTCTAGAAAAACATCAAATGAAAATAATTTGACACTTTTAAGTGATGGATAAAAAATTAATCAATTTAATAAAAAAAATTAATGTTTAAGGAATATTCAAGGTATTTATGGTGTGGTCGACGAGATTCGAAAAAAAGCCACGAAATTGATGATTTTTTAAAATACATTCTTTTATTTCTTCAAAACCCCTAGGCAAAATCCCAGATAACCTAGGAGAATGAGCAAAACACGGGCTCTTATGGAAATTCGGGAAAAAAAGTATTAAAAATAGAAAAAAAGTTGACATTTTCCTGAAATTTCGCTCTTGTGTGGAGCTTTCAGGGAGGGCCATAAAAAAATAATCCAAGTGGCGTAGGAGAATTGTTAGAAGAGATAATTAAAAAACTCATGAAAAATAGGAATTCTGCGAGCGCAACTTGGAATAGCGATAACGTCGAGGTTAGAAATCGTGGAGGGGTAAGCGCGGCAAATACAAATGGAGTTGTGATGATACATTTCGCTATGGGAAGGAACATAACAGCTGAGTGAATCAGTGCTGCCAACTTGTATCTCGAACGGTACGATGTTGTCACTTTTTCTATCCATATTAATTATTTTCAAATTATCCAAAAGACAAGCTATAAAAATAAATAAAAGAAGGCTTGAAACACGTGGGAAAAAAATAGAAAAATTATTAAAAAAATATTTTGAACACAAAAATAGTCGAAATAAATTAAAAATTTGTAATTGAAATATCGTTTTTTTTTGTTCAGCGATTGGTTTTCTGCGAGAGAACACTAGATGCCCCTCCGTCTCACCTCCTACATGGCCGGCCCGCCATAAATACCTTAAATGCACACTGAAATAGTTACTTGAAAAGTTCTTTCTCACAATGAAAACCAAGAAGAAAAACTTTTAAAAAATCATGCTCAAGAGGACATTTTATGAATTGTTAAAAATATCCGTTAAGGAATGCGGCGACATGTTGCATAAATTTTAATACAATTGCCGCAAAAACAACCGGAATCTTTCACTAGAATGTCACTGAGAAAGCGAT